GGCAGAAGAAGGGCTGGGGTTCGAAAAGGATCGAAGAAGGTGAGTTGAACGATCAGTGTGATTGGGGTGGTCGTTCAAGTGGTGCGTGTGACGAACCAGCTTCCGGACCTGCGCCATCTTTCGGACCCCTTTCCTTCCCGTGTTTTCTCTGCATCTAGATGTGTCTTGATCGGCCCCTGAAAACCTTTCCTCTGTTTTTGCTCGATTAAAGGTACCTCGTTCGTCAGCACTAGTAGTTCTTGAAATTCCGTCATTTTTTTAATTTGGAAATGCATGGGAATTGCGTGCGCCTTAGTGAGCGCGCTCGGAATTTGGCTCGACCGTTAGGAATTCCGGAATTAACGGAACACAACGTGTCCTTTCACGCGTGAATGTTATCGGCCTCGACATGGAAAACTCTGGGAATTTTGTAGGAATAGGGATGGGCGTAGGACTTTCTTTCTTTTCCCGCGTCTACTTTTCGCGCGGATATGGTGACTTCAATTTTTGAATTAGCGTAGGACTGGGAAAAACTGCAACTGTTTTGGTGCCCATTCTTCTCTTGCTATTCGGCACCATGCAAACGAGTTCCCTCCTCCTTCCTTCTCGCGCTCCTCTCAGCGCCTTCCCTCGCGCGCACATGCTTTCTCGCTCCCTCTCCCTGTAACTGTTTTTCTCCCTCCTTCCCCGCGCACGCCCTTTTTCTCTTTCTTGATCATCTGAATCTTGGACCCGTTTCCCGCTCGTCTTCTTCCTACTCTAAAACCTGCGCTCGAAAACCCGGTCGATCCTCCCTTTCCATCTAGCCAAGGAGAAGCGTCGTGTAAGAAGAGATTCCTACCGCGCGCCGATTCTGATTGGCTGAGATCGGGTTGTGAGGGATCAACATGGCTTTCAACGAGCGATTACCCTCAAACCCTCCCTTACCCTCCTCTACCCTACTCTTCATCTTTCCCCGCATCTCTGTCCCCTCTTGCAACTATAAATTCCGCCGGCTCATCCGCAAAGCTCTCTCTCAACTCGTCAGTCAGCTTCCGGGAAGCAGTGGCTAGATGGTGTGCGTGTGGTGCATTTCGAAAAGTCCCGACAGGCTGACTGTAGACTGGCTGGCTGTGCGCCTGATCACCACGACGGACTGTGGGGTCAGTGCAAGCCCGCGCAGAAACTAAGTCGGCGGGGTGACGATCTCGATGATGGCAGGTGGCACGCGACGACCGGGATCGTCGGTGCATATATGAGGAGTGACAAGAGTTGAAGGGATGAATGACTCGGGGCCATGATGGAACATTATGGCGGATGCGCTCCCTTGTCTCTATCTTATTCTTTGGTGTGAGTGCAGCTTCGCGGCAGTTAAGCCGGAACTCTTTTTCAACTCCAGACTTCTGTGTGATTGTTCTCTATGGAATTCATTTCGCTCGCTTATCTTCTGATGTGAATGACTACGCATGTTTGGGAATGGTTGCCTGATGGGTCGGCGTTTTGATTAGACTCGGGATGACGGGGCAGGGGTGCAGAGCACACGAAGCACTTGACCATGTATGACTGCCATTTTCGCACCTTCCGGGGCGAGTAATTGCGAATGCTTTGTCATTGATGGATTGGTCTTTGATTCCGCTGAAGAATTATGGTGAATGGGTTGCGATTGAGCTGTTGGCTAGGACAATATTGTTGGGATTTGGTTCGAGAACGCAAGAGTGTTTAGATCTGATGATGTTGTGATTCCAGGCGGGCCTTCACTCCAGAATACGTTCCGCATACCTTCTGCGGCTTGCCCTCGTTTCACAAACCCGAAGAGCGATTTGCCTTCTCGGAAAGAAGAAGGGCGCCACGTACGACCTGCATGCGTGGATCACTAGCTATGTCCCACTTGATGTAGGTATCGTCCCTACGATCACTGTATGCAAATTTCTGGTCGAAACCATAGACTATTGCAAACTCTCTCTCTGCGAAACGAAAGATGTTCCCACTTTGCTTTGCATGTTTCAGATAGATAAAGGCGATAATAAGAAAAACCCGATCGATAAACGGGGATTAACGATGAACGATTATTGATTGATTTGCCATGTGGACTGAAGACCCCAACCCGACTGGGCGCCGGCCTCTCGTACTCCCGCCACGTTCCTTTCCGTACAACGAGAACCGGACACGTGTATATGAGTGGGACGTACGAGAAGCCGTCCCCAAGATCGTCGGTCGATATTATTTCCCTCCCGAAACTCGTTGCTCAGGATTTGTCGGAGCAGGCTTTGTCATTATTGATACGCATTTTCCGCCTTATTCACTGCTATTACCGTTTAACGAGTTGATTGTCATTCCGTGGACGGCAGTGCCGTCCCATTGGCCCAACACTCAGTGTAGCGACTGTTGTCGCCTCGAGCGTTACCGATCCAAGGGCTTCCACTACCGCGTACGGAGTGAGGACGAACACAAAGAACGAGCTACACAATTGAGATCCTCCACATCAGATTCTGAGTTGTGCAATGAGCGGTGTCGGGACTTGATCCGAAAACGAGACACTAGAAGTGTACCCGCCCCTTTTCACGCTAAGCGAAGGGCAACGGCCCGTTGGGAAGTTCAACGATACTTTTTAGATGATTGGATTTCCCGGCGCCGAACGTCCCCCCCCCGCCCTTTTCTCCCTAGATATCCGCGTAGTGACGGACCCTCCCCTCTTACTAAGTCGGACCAACACGGGGGATTTCGGTTCTGTCCGTATCCCCACACTCAATTTCCAAAAATCCTTAGCACACCCCATCTTGCTGTCTGTCCAGGGCCCCCTTCCGCGATCGAAAACACTCCGAACGGAAGACAGCGCAGGGCGTGAGGTTGCGCGTCACATGCGCGCCTTCCGCTCTCCCCGCATTGATCCGACCGTCCCAATCACGTCCCAATCACACAGCCAATTGTTCGCAAGGATGGGTAAGGAGAGGATCGGACTTCGCTCGAGGGAAGACGAAGAGGCATGCAAGAAGGGAATGCGCGGCAAGAAGGGAAGATGGCGTGGGGATGCAAAGCTGGAGAACAGGTTTACGCGGCGAAAAAAAATTTGAAAAACAGCCGCGCGCACGAAAGTTCAAAATTCCTACCCACACTAATTCCTAACTGTTTCTTGATTTCTTGGCGCGGCCGCTAAGTTAGGGGCAGTCTCGAAAAGGAAATATAAGTTTCTGGCAGTCTCGAAAAGGAAAAATAAGTTTATGTTCCGTCCTTCTTCTCTGAGGGTACGGGAAAAAAAAAGAGAAAAGAAGAAAAAAGAAAAATGAACCCCGTTGGGCTAAGATTTCCGTGTGCAGAAATATCCCAGGCACAAGGGCAGTCGCCATGCAGTGAGGTCCAAGCCTTAGGGCCTCCTTCCACACCACTCCACTTTAGAAATACTTGAGAAATTCCTCGTTCCACACTGCACTGCACTTGAGTTTCACATTCCCTGATCGCGATTAGGCTTCCCGCCTCTCCCGGCGCCCGCCAAAAACGTAAAGTGCAGCTCAAGTGCGCCCCAGGCGAATAGGTGATTTTTTCAAGTCAACTCTCCGACCACACTTGAGCCGCACTTCAAAACGGCGCAAGTGAGAGCCAGGAGGCGGTTGTAGGCCCTGCACTTTCCCCCCGTTTTTTCCTTTTTTTGTTTTACATCCCCCCTTCCCTCGCGCCAACCGCCTCTGCCACTTTCCCGCTCCTGTTTCGAGTGTGGAGTGGAGTGTAACGTCGAACTGTGCCAGGCTCAAGTGTTTTTTAATGACGATTACCCTGTGACGCGGCTCGAGTGCCGCACTTGAAATTGAAGTGGAGTGAAGTGGTGTGGAACGAGGCCCTTAGGCGCATCCTCTGTTTTATCCCGTGACCTTGCTTTCGTCCATTGTTTGGCCTGTTTCTCTGGCCCATCATGGCCACTGTTGCTCCATGCGTTCCCAGGCTATCATGTCAAGCTCCTGGACATACGAGGACTTCCCTAGATGTATCTTACTGTTACGCTCAGATGGGATAAATGCGGTCCTGGCTGAGCGAGCGTTCCCTGAGATTGCTTATCCCCGCCATCTGCAATCGCACAAGTACGCCCTTCGAGTCCTGTGATGATTGCTATCGGAAGGTCTTTCCACGGGGACCTATATTCCCAAAATCCCAAAAAAAAGGGGAAAAGGCCGGTCTCCCAAATTCGCAAATGTACTGGGAAAAGGCCCTATTTCATTTTTCGTATTTTCTTCGAAAATTGGCAAAAGTTCGTTCACAAAAGTTCTTGCACAATTTTTTTATTTTTATTTTTATTTTATTCGTTCACAAAAGTCCTTGCGCCGTGTGACCAGCCAAGTACCAAATCCCCACTTCTCCAGACGGCCGCGACCTCGTCCCATCTGAAAAAGTACAGCACCGTGACGTGAACCACGCCCAAAACCTCAAATTGGCCCTTCTCAAATCCGCAAAATATGCGGATTTGGGGTCGCCGTGTGCATATGCCCTCAATGGGGTGAAACCGTATCTTACGGAACATTCGTTATTGACCCTGCTGGTGCGTGAGTCGGTTGCTGAATTGGCGGGCAAAAGGCAGAGGCGAACATGGCGAGCGAGAGTCTGAGGCCCTGAGCCTTCTGTCTGCGGACCGGCTAGCGACGCGCTGCTGTTGCTTGTGCGTCTGCTTGCCTTCTGTCGAGAGCGGTACCCAGTTATTTCGTTCCGAACGTGTTGGCACCAATTGGCGTCCGTTGGCATCCCGCCACGTGGGCAGACGGTGCGAGGAAGTGCGGAGCAGCGCAGAGCAGCAGAGGGGAGCACGGCGGAGGGGAGGTGGTGATAGAGGTGGGATAGAGGTGGGTGCGAAGCTTAGGAGCGGCAGTTCGTTTAGGAGTTGAGACGGTCTGTGGACGAGTGACACTGTCTTGCGCTTTCAAGCTGGCGAGGCCGGAGCTGGGCCTCAGACGGATCGGTAAGGCCTAACAGAGTGCAGGGGTGATTCCGCTGACGTGTCCGGCAGGCGCCTTCTGACACGGCAGTAATACGTGAATCGACGGGTGATTCCGGCTGGCTTGTCGAGCTGGCACGTCGACTAGGTAGGGTGTAGGGTTCTCCTCTTCAGTGCTCTATCGGCGACAGGGTGTTTCTGACACGCCATGACTTTCCGTACGACAGAGGTGTTGTCGCACTATTGTCGCCCAAGCTTCGTGCTGGTGTGGCGAGTCACGTGCTAGGATAGTTTGCCACGTAGCGCCTAGTTGCTGACGTGGCACTTCGATCTGCTGGTCCGTCATAAGGTGCAGGTCGTACTCTTGTGCAGGGTCTTGGGCGGTTCAGCCATCAAGTGAGGGCAGAAAGGGCTTCTCGTTGGGGAGTGGTCCGGTAGATGAGACATGACATCTCCGCGCTTCCTCTTCGTCTTCGTCGGCGTTGGCGCGTCGTTCTAAGTCAGAACAGTAGGGGCCCGCCAAACTTTGGTTGGGAGTGAGTGCAAGCATTCTTGGCGTTGTGAGCGATCGATCGCGTCTTATCAGTTGTTGGTCCGAAGCTTTACGAGAGATTCCGCGCCCCACGGTCGTCCTCAAGAGCGTGGTGGGTCGGACTTGTATCCAGCCATACGCACAGAGTCCTAGGTCCGGTCCGGTAAGGGAGAGAGAGGAGTGCAGATAGAGACCACAGGGAGAAGCGGAGGGCCATATAATTGTCGAGGTCAAGCACACGGACTCTTGCGCACGAATAGACAGGCGGGGAGAGTGGCCGAGAAGGTGGTTGCCGACTATGTGTGTGTGCGTTTGAGAGAGAGACTGAGGGGGAGAAGAGGGGGGAGCGTGGTTAGCGGGTCTGTCAGAGAAGCAACCACGGCGCGCGGGTGGGCAAAATGGACGTTGGGAGGTGGAGGCGCGGGCCGACAATCGCCCGGTGAAGAGGATGACGGTGATTACATGGGGAAGGCGAACGGGGACTCCGAGCGGCGGGAGACCGACCACAGGGTGTGGACGGGGCTGGCTACATTGGGGAGTTCGGATTGCCGGTCGTCCGAGTCGGAAGAGGACGAGATCGCCAGCTTTGCTGAGAGCGATGACACTGCGTGGGGTGGTGGTGGTGAGGAGAGCACGACGAGCAGCATCACGGATGCAGTGAGAAGTAACCAGCAACGTTTTGGGAGAAAGGGGTTTTCGGATTATCTCCCAGGGAGGAGGAAAAAGAAATTTGGAGGAAGTGGGGATCTCGATGGGGGTACTCGCACAGAATTGGGGGGAAGTTACGACTGGGATCAGGCAGAGGGTCGAGATAGGCGCGAAGCTGAAGGCAGTGGCCACTCTCGACGTCCGGGAAGTTCTGGGGGCTCGCTACTCTCATTCTTTGGGGTAAGTGGGGGTTCTAAAGATCGGGGACGGGATCGGGAGCGGGATCGCGACAGGGACCGGGATAGACACACACACAGCAGCAGTTTCGGTAGCACGAGAAGCGACCCTGGCCCGCACAGATCGGGATCATGGGGCAAAGAGGACGACCTACCGCAGGATGGTGGAGGGCTCGTGGGTGGTGGGGGCAGTTCGCCACAGCATCCGCTGTGGAACTCAGGAGGTTCTCCTTCGAAAGACGAAAAAGCCAGTGGTGGTTACAAAATGCTCAAGGAGAAATTTAAGGTTCATCGCGGCGACTTTTCCTTGAAGAGAAAAAGTTCATCTGTATTATGTGCTCCTGTCAAACTGAGCGATCGGCTGCTGGCTTTTACGTACGAGATGGACGAAGAGAGCAGGTCAAATACCGAAAACGAGAGAAGGTAGGTGCTCTTCGCCGCACAGCATCCGTTCTTTTTAACCCACTTTCATCCCCGCTGTCCGACCTAATCAAACCCGATCCCTCGGCGAACTCTACCAGTACATGCTATATTTTGCCTGGACGCGGGAGATGCGGCAAAGCAGACTGTGGTGATTCGTCTAGGGTTTTTTTTTTTTTTTTTTTTTTTTTTTT